CAAGTGGAGATGTGTGCATGGCTCTTAAATTCGGCATGATTATTTTGTCAGTCTGTATCATCAATTTCAAAAAAGGGGGATCTGCTTGAACAATCTAATAACTCATGTGGAATGAATTAAATGTGTTGGATGAGGTACACCGAGATGATGGAAGGCAAAACATGCCCCATATATAGTCCCATACACCAATCCCCAGTGAGTTGAGTGAAAAAAAATTCTATGTTCGCAAGGTAAAGAGTTATCTCGCAAAAAATACGGCAAACAAAATGACAAGAGGCATTTCATTTCTCTATCTCATACACTATAGGTTGCCCACTGTTTTACCACTTTGAGCGTAAACACTTGGAGAAGCTCTTTGAAAATTACCTCTGTCAAGAACCACCCCACATCGAGGCAAATTGGAGGTAAGTCGGTATCAGGAGGTGATAAAATGGATAGAAATTTCCTTGCTCTCACTTGCATTAATCTTCGAGTATTTCTTTTTCAGATGAATGTCTAAGAAGCTCAAGTGCCTTAGGATGACGAAGAGCATTTCTTTCTCTATCCTATATGTTGAGGAAATCCCTAATTAGTTTTGAAGAAAGACAAAACAATCCTTTTTTAACCACAATTACACTTAAATTATTTGATGCAGGTAAATATTAAGTCATCAGACTTAGTCGATGAAAGAACTTTGTCATCAGACTCATAATTCCTCGTCAGATTCAATAAGTGTTATTTTTGGCAAGTTTATGCAGGACAATCAAATTGATATTTCAAGATATCCTAATTGGCAATCACAGGATCGTTCCTTAAACACGAAAAACTATACTTATGGAAACCTTGATTTGATTGTATGGACGATCAAATCATCCGGAGATAATGGTTCTTCTTCTAACGTCTATGCATCTTCTTTTGGGAAGTTTCTCCAACGGGTTGATTTGGAGATCAATCCTCTAAAGACTATCCAACGGATAGATTGGAAGTAAAGGAGTATAAAAGAAGTGCAAACGTCGTACAAGTAGAATAACTAGAATCAAGAATTCCAAAATTTGAATAGAGCTTCGATCTTACACACTTGTGATTACTGTATTCTACGTTATGATTTTAGAAAGAAAATTACTTGAGTGAAGAGTGTATGTAATAGTGCAGTCTATCATCTGAGAGGCACTGCTCTTGTAATTTCTTAGTGATTCAATAGTGAAATACAGCCAACAGGCTGCCAGCGTGAAGAGTGGACGTAGGCTTGATAAAACCGAACCACTATAAAGATCTGTGTGCAGTATTCTCTTTCCCTAAACTCTCATTTAATGTGACATCCCGAATTTCGGCCCATTTTTGGGATTTGTAAAACGCGTAATTTGTCAGTGTGCTTATAGTAAAATCTCGCCCGCTAACTGATCACTCCCGGTTATCATTTTAAATTAGAGATTTCGCTAGAATCGCACTCGATCAAATTTGGCCGTTATTTAGACCCCAGACTTCGCAGTCGATTTTCGGGAGTGTCGGGACGAAATAAATTGGACGGTGTCGATATGGTCGGGGCCAACGTTGAGATTGTCAGGAATGATGGAAAAAGGGGAGTTTTTGATCAGGTGCAAATTTGGACTAGTAGACCTCCCTCGTTATGATTTGGTCTAATTAATTTGGCCTTTGTCCCTTTTTATGTGCGAGGCTTATTTTGGACCGGTAGACCACTTTCGGTTTTTAATTTGGGCCATCGGATCTCGATTAATATTTGAATGAAGTTTAATTTCTTTTATTTCTCTCTCTCTCCCCTCTCTCTCTCTCTCTCTCTCTCTCCTCTGCCACGCCCGTCCCCTCCGGTCACGTTTCCCCTCTCTGCAGACGTCCCCTCAACACCCACCCCACCTACTCTCTCTCTCTCTTCTTTTCTTTTCTTTCTTTCTTTTTCCTTTCTTCCTCTGTTCTTCTTCTTCTTCCTCCTTCTTCGCCCGCGACTGGTTCTACTCCGTTCTGCCCAGTCGCCGTCCGCCTCCGCCCGACGCTACTCCGCCAGTCGCCGCCGCCGCCAAGCCCGACCACCGTCGCGTTGACCACCAGCCGCCGCCCGACCGTTCCCTTTCTCTCCTCACGCGCGCGCGTGCAGCAAGCCGTCGCCGCCGCCCTCCGCCTCGGCTCGGGCGTGCCGCGCGTCGCCGGCCAGCTCGACCGTCAGGCGCGCCGGCCGTGGGCCGCCGTTCCCTCTCTCACCGGCAACCTTCCACCCACACCATCACTCCTCTCTCTTTCTCTTGTTTGGCCGTGGGGAGCACCTCACCGGAGGAGCCGCCGCCGCCGCCGCCGGAGCCGTCGCTGGGAACCACCATCCCACGCCTCACCAGCCTCACCAGTCCGTCCTCTCTCTCTCTCCCGACCGCCGCGACCAGCCACCCCTCCGCCTAGACTCGCACCGTTCGCCGGAACCGCCGCTGCCGTTACTGTTCCAGCGAGGCGTCGCCGCTGTCCAGCCACCATTGCCGCGTGTTCGGCACGGTTTGAAGCTTAGGACACCCGGTGAGTTTGACCCTAAGCCCTAATTAGGACAATTTGCATTTCTAGACGGGTTTTAGGGGTTAATTAGGTTAATTTAGGGGTTAAACGGTGGAGGCTGTTAGGGGCTGTTATCGTGGCTGTTTTGGTGGTGAGTCGTGATGCTTTAATTGAGATTTAGAGTCCCGTATTGTGCTGTGAGTCGGCTGAGCTTGGGTGCTTCGATTCGGATCGAATTTGTGGATTTGGCGGGAGAAACTCGTGATCCAAACGGTGGCTGTTAGGGACTGATTTTGTGGCACATTTGGTGACCGAGAGTGATGATTTAATCGAGGTTTAGTGGTCTATAGAGTGCTGTGATGTGGCGAAGCATAGATGCCTTGATTTGGGCGAAATTGTGGACTTGGCGGATGAAATCTGTGGATCGTATGGTGGCTGATTTTGTGGCTATTTTACGGGCTTAGTGTGACAATTTAATTGAGGATTAGTGGCCCGTAATGTGCTATGCGATGGCTGGAAGTATTGGATTGAATCGGCCCGAGTTCGGTTAAGTTCGGGTTCAATTGTGGATTATAGTGCGCGCCTAGTTTGGTCCTCATGGTGGCTGATTTGGGTGATATTTTGGGGAGTCAAATGGAGTGTTTTGAGGACATTTGTTGGCCTAGGACGATCTGTTTGGTGGCTGTCCATACCGGGTTTGAATTGGTCTATGAGCGATCAATTTGGAGGTTAATTGTGCAATTACCGGAATGATCGCATTGATCAATTGATCGGCTAAATGAGCCTGGTTGTGATTGATTTTAGGATGCCATGTTGCTTGTTTAGCGGGACTAAGAATGGAATAGCTTGGCGGGCCTCGAATGTGAGGGTTCTTGTTATCCCGGTTGTGTGGATCGTGCATGGATTGTGTGTCAAGTTGATGTCATGGCTGATTTGAATTGATTGTCTGATTGGGCATGTTGATTTATGAAATTGAATATGCGTGGTGCAAGTGCGCATGATTGCATCGTGATTTGAGTAAGTGGTGCGGTGCAAGTGAATGCCCATATGTGAACGTTATAGCCATGAGTTTGCATCACGAGCATTGGCACGGCATGTGCATTTACAAGTGTGCTCGAGTGACATGTGCATTGTGATCACCTAAAATGCCCTGATGCGTTTAACGCGGGGTTCAGATGAAAATTGGTGCTTGTGAATGTGTGATCACAATAAACCCTGATGCGTTTTACGCGGGGTAGTGAACCCGTCCTGAGGCGTTTAACGCGGGACGATGCCCGGATTGCCGGAAGACGGCCAACCTGATGCGTTTACGCGGGTTCGGTCCGTATATGGAGATCGGTGTTGCGCCTGATGCGTTTACGCGGGCTAGAGACACTGGGCCTGATGCGTTTACGCGGGCCAGGAAGTGCTGGATAGTGATAGACCCGATGCGTTTTACGCGGCTCGGACCCGATGCGTTTAACGCGGTCGGAGGAGAAATTGATAAATGGCAAGTATGCTAGAGTGCAAGCATGCGAAAATGCATTGATGAGGCGTGAGCACGCGTATGAGCACGAGCATAAGCATGACATGCGTTGTGACCAAATGATGTGTACATGTGCTGCGACTGGGTCCTATGTTTTATGTTTGAATTGTAAGTGCCTAACCTGCAGGGCAAGGTGAGTGTTGGGTTTGGGCCCGAGGGCCTAAGTCAATTATGATTTGCTTGGGGTGTTGATTTAGTACTCGTCAGGAGGTGCACTTTAGCCTAATTTAGGTTTAGGGAATTACTCGCTGAGATTTATTCTCACTGTTGTTGAAACCCAATTTTTCAGACCCCCAGCCCTGAGGATGGCAGGCGTATTGAAACGTTTTGGGAGGAGCCCCGGCTAGATATAGTGGTTGATCGCCGAGCCACGTACCCCGCTTTTGATTTTTGAGTGTGGGCTGTTTATGAATATTGTATATGTTTCCCGATATCAAAACAAGTGTATATTTATCCGTGCTGGTTATTGTATGGCTATCCTGGATTATGTGTATTTTATTGTACGGGTGGTTTTAATTACTTCCGCATGTGCTTTATATCTCTGTGTTGGGTGTTGGGTCGGCGACGCGTCCTGGGACGTCGCACACGAATCGACCTTTACAAGGGATGTGGCGCGCCGAGGAGTGCGGGGCGTGACATCCCCGTTTGATTTGGTATCAGAGCAAGGTCAGCTCGGTCCAATTAGGTCGAAGCTTGGAGTGATAAGGAGCGGTGACCTTGGGTAGCCAGTAGGGTGACCTCGTGTGCTTTGTGTACCTCCTGACTGCTTGTGTTTGATTGAGTGCTTGTTTTAGTTGATCGTAAAGTGCAGGTGCGGCAGGACCCGAGGTAAGTACGCGAATCTCCTTGGTTGAGATGTTGTGCTGTTTGTGTAAGACCGCATGCTGGTTGCTTGATTGCTGCTGTATATACCTGCCTAGGACCTTAGACCGGTTTAGCTTGGTTTAGGTCTCTAATTCCTGAATGGAATTATAGCAGGAAGGTGAGCGTGCGAGTTGGAAAGATGAGTAGCCAAGGAAGAGGCCGTGGTAGAGGCCGAGGCCGTGGTAGAGGCAGAGGCCGAGGTCGTGAACAGGACCCTGTAGAACCGCAAGTAAGGGCTGCCGAGGATCCGAGGGTAGATGGAATTTTAAGAGCTCTCGAGGAAGCTGGAATTCTGGGAGGTAGACTAGCCCAAGAGAGAGATGCCACTATAGCTGCTGCTGTTGAGGCCGCCATGGCTGCTGCCAACGGGGCAAATGGGAATGATGGAAATAATGGGAATCAGGGGAATCAGGAGGATCCAATTCCAGCGCCAGTGAATGTGGGCAGGCCGATGTCCAAGTTAGTAGAGCAGTTCCTGAAATTAAAGCCGCCGAAGTTCAATGGGAAAGGTGACCCTGAGGCCGCACCCCGTTGGGTTGAGGGGTTGGAGAAGGCTTTCGAAGTGCTAGGGTGTACCGAGGCCGAAAAGGTGACATTGGCGGTATATCAACTGCAGGACAACGCCGATGATTGGTGGAAGGCCACCAAAGGAAAGGTATTTCCCGAAGGGACCGCCCCGACTTGGACCGTATTTTCTGAGACTTTCCTGGGAAAATTCTTTTCTGAGAGCGCCAGGGAAAGGAAATTGGCAGAATTCATGAGGCTCCGCCAGGGATTGATGACCGTAGATCAGTACGAGGCAGAATTTGCGAGACTGTCGAGGTTCGCGCCAAGGATGGTGGAACACCCTGAGGATAAGGCGCGAAGGTTTCGGGATGGGCTGAAAGCCGACATTCGCGGCCAGCTGATACCTGTGAATTTAAAGACTTATGAGGACTTATATGAGAGAGCTCAGGCTATTGAGCGAGAGCAAGTAGATAGAGCGGCCGCATCTGGATCGCGGTTCGCCCCGGCTAAGGACAACCGCCGTTTTGGGAAGAAACCAATGGCGGGAAACAGGAGGTTCGTCCCACCGATCGTGAAGAACATTGGAAAGCCGAATCCCAAGCAGAATGTGCTTGGGGCTTGCTTCAAATGCGGGAGTATGAACCATCAAATCGAGTTGTCCCCAGCAGCCGCCCGCAGACCCCGATGCAACATCAACCCCGAATTGGGAATCAGCCGGGAATCTACCGCCGGCTAATGTGAACAGCCGCCGGCACAAGGACGGGTGTACGCCATGGCGCGAAGAGAAGTTGAGAATGCGCCGGCGTGGTCACAGTACGATTTCTCTTTGCGTCATGTCGCGTATGCATTATTTGATCCGGAGCATCGCATTCGCTTATATCCGCTCGCTTGTTGAGTTGGTGGATTAAACCCCGTTTTGCTAGAAGTGCGGTTGTGTGTGACTACGCCGTTAATGGATAAGATATGCATATCGTTAGGATGTCCGGATTGTGAGATAGTGATTGGTGGCGTAGAAAGCAGGATAGACCTAGCGGTTTTGCCAATGTATGATTTTGATTTAATTGTGGGCATGGACCGGTTAGTTAAGCGTAATGCCGTAATGGACTCGCAAGAGTAAGGTGATTCGGTTTAGCCTACTGGACACCCTAGATTCGAGTTCGTAGGAGTCGAGGAGGAACCTCGATCCCTTGGGTTTCTTCTGTTGAGGCAACTAAATTGTTGGATGAGGGCTGCCAAGGTTATTTAGCGAGCGTAGTTGATTCGACGGCAGGAGAAGTGCGGCTAGAGGATATAGCAGTGGTGTGCAACTTTCCCGATGTCTTTCCTCAGGAATTGCCGGGATTGCCACCAGAAAGAGAAGTGGAATTCGTTATCGAGTTGGCATCCGGGACTGGGCCAATCTCGAAGCCGCCGTATAGGATGTCGTTGTCGGAATTGAAAGAACTTAAGGTTCAGATGCAAGAATTGCTAGACAAAGGTTTTATCCGACCAAGTGCGTCTCCATGGGGAGCGCCAGTCCTATTCGTCAGGAAGAAGGATGGATCGTTGAGGCTATGTATCGACTACCGTCAGCTGAATCAAGTGACGATTAAGAATAAGTATCCCCTCCCAAGGATAGACGACCTGTTCGACCAGTTGCAGGGAGCCTCGGTATTTTCTAAGATCGACCTAAGGACAGGGTATCATCAGTTAAGGATCCAAAAGGAGGATATCCCAAAGACGGCATTCAGGACGAGGTACGGACACTATGAATTCACGGTGATGCCGTTTGGACTGACGAATGCCCCTGCTGCATTCATGGACTTAATGAACCGGGTATTCAAAAAGTTCTTGGACCAGTTCGTCATTGTCTTCATCGATGATATTCTAGTGTATTCAAAGAGCTCCGAGGAACATGAGGTACATCTGGAAAGAGTTTTACGGACGCTAAGAGAGCACGCATTGTATGCTAAGTTTAGCAAGTGCGAATTTTGGCTGAATCGAGTTGCATTTCTTGGGCATATAATTTCCGGAGAAGGAATCTCCGTGGATCCGGCAAAGATTGAAGCAGTAATGGATTGGCCGAGACCGACGACAGTTACTGAGGTTCGGAGTTTCTTAGGACTGGCGGGATATTATCGGCGATTTGTGGAAGGATTCTCAGCGATAGCCACTCCGCTGACGAAGCTGCTTAAGAAGGAAACGAGGTTTGAATGGACGGAAAAGTGCGAAAAGAGTTTTCAGGAACTGAAGCAGAGATTGACGACGGCGCCAGTGTTGACGATTCCTTCAGGATCGGGCGGGTATGAGATCTATAGCGATGCTTCGCTCAAAGGATTGGGATGTGTGCTAATGCAAAATGGAAGGGTGGTTGCTTATGCATCGAGACAGTTAAGGCCTCATGAGATGAACTACCCGACCCACGACTTGAACCGGCAAGCAATTATTTTCGCACTCAAGATCCGGGAGGCACTACTTATGCGGGAGAAAGGTTTCAGATCTACACGGACCATCAGAGCCTCAAGTATTTGTTTTCGCAGAAAGAATTGAACATGAGACAGAGACGTTGGATGGAATTATTGAAGGACTATGATTGTGACATATTGTATCATCCCGGGAAGGCCAACCGGGTAGCGGATGCCTTAAGCAGGAAATCGAGCATCGCGCATTTGCTGGTCAAAGAGTGGATTTTATTGGAAGGAGCGCGGGACTCAGAATTTAAATTCGAGGTAGGACACCTCTCCAGTCTGATGGCGACGTTACGGATTGAACCAGAAGTGCAAGGCAAGATTAAGGTGTTGCAGTCTACGGACCCTGAGATTCAGAAGATCCTAGAGATGGATGGCACTAAGAGGAAACCGGACTTCCAAGTGTCCGAGGACGGAATTCTTAAGTTTCGAGGACGGTTATGCGTGCCCGATGATTTGAGACTTAAGGAAGAGATTCTATCGGAAGCTCATAGGAGCAGTTATAGTATTCACCCGGGCAGCACAAAAATGTACCAGAATCTCCGACAACACTATTGGTGGAACGGAATGAAAGCGGATGTGGCCAGGCATGTGGTTAAGTGCTTGACGTGCCAACAAGTGAAGGCACAGATTGTAAGCCTGGTGGGATGTTGCGCCGTTGGAAATCCCGTAATGGAAATGGGAGCACATTACAATGGATTTTGTAACGGATCGCCAAGAAGCCGGGACACGACTCTATTTGGGTGATAGTGGACGGTTGACCAAGTCGCCGCATTTCGGCGGTGCGAAAAGACTTCGAGCTAGAAAGGTTGGCGTAATTATATGTGCGTCGATAGTTCGCCTTCATGGAGTACCGGTATCAATCACATCGGACCGTGATCCCCGGTTTACTGCGAATTTTTGGAAAAGTCTACAAGTGGCCATGGGGACTAAGTTGCAATTCAGTACGGCCTATCATCCTCAGACGGACGGCCAGTCTGAAAGGACGATTCAGACATTGGAAGACATGTGCGAGCATGTGTTTTGGATTTTAAGGGCGGTTGGGAGGAACAATGCATTTGGTCGAATCGCCTACAACAATAGCTACCACAGAGTATCGAATGGCACCATTCGAAGCACTATATGGCAGGGCTTGCAGAACACCGTTGTGTTGGGATGAGGTAGGAGAAAGAAGTATAACGGGTCCAGAGTTGGTTCAGCAATCGGTAGAAACGAAGAAAGACTATCCGGGAAAGGTTGAGAACAGCTCAGAGCCGTCAGAAAAGTTACGCGGATCGAAGGCGTAGACCATTGGAGTTTTAAGTTGGCGACCATGTATTTCTTAAGGTCTCGCCGATGAGAGGACTATCTAGGTTTGGCAAGAAAGGGAAACTAAGTCCAAGGTATATAGGCCCGTTCGAGATTTTGGAAAGGATTGGGACGTTGGCCTATCGTCTCGCCTTGCCGCCGAATTTGTCGCAGGTTCATAACGTCTTCCACGTGTCGATGTTGAGGAAATACGAACCGGACCCGACCCACGTGCTAAATCATGAGGTGGTAGACGTGGACGACAGGGTGTCGTACGTGGAAAAGCCAGTGCGAATCGAGGACAGAAAGGAGCAAGTTTTGAGAAACAAGACGATCTCGTTAGTCAAAGTTGTCTGGGAACATCACGGGATGGAAGGCGCCACATGGGAAAGCGAGGAAGTGATGCAACACCAATACCCCCATTTGTTTGGATAACTGGGTTGGATTGTAAATTTCGAGGACGAAATTTTTGTAAGGGGGGAAGAGTTGTGACATCCCGAATTTCGGCCCATTTTTGGGATTTGTAAAACGCGTAATTTGTCAGTGTGCTTATAGTAAAATCTCGCCCGCTAACTGATCACTCCCGGTTATCATTTTAAATTAGAGATTTCGCTAGAATCGCACTCGATCAAATTTGGCCGTTATTTAGACCCCAGACTTCGCAGTCGATTTTCGGGAGTGTCGGGACGAAATAAATTGGACGGTGTCGATATGGTCGGGGCCAACGTTGAGATTGTCAGGAATGATGGAAAAAGGGGAGTTTTTGATCGGTGCAAATTTGGACTAGTAGACCTCCCTCGTTATGATTTGGTCTAATTAATTTGGCCTTTGTCCCTTTTTATGTGCGAGGCTTATTTTGGACCGGTAGACCACTTTCGGTTTTTAATTTGGGCCATCGGATCTCGATTAATATTTGAATGAAGTTTAATTTCTTTTATTTCTCTCTCTCTCCCCCTCTCTCTCTCTCTCTCTCTCTCTCCTCTCCGCCACGCCCGTCCCTCCGGCCACGTTTCCCTCTCTCTCGCAGATGTCCCCTCAACACCCACCCCACCTACTCTCTCTCTCTTTTTTTTTCTTTCTTTCTTTTCCTTTCTTCCTCCTGTTCTTCTTCTTTCCTCCTTCTTCGCCCGCGACCGGTTCTACTCCGTTCGCCTGGGCCGCGTCCGCTCCGCCCGACGCTACTCCGCCGCCGCCGCCAAAGAAGCCCGACCACCGTCGCGTTGACCACCAGCCGCCGCCCGACCGTTCCCTTTCTCTCCTCACGCGCGTGATGGAAGCCGCCGCCGCTTCCTCCGCCTCGGCCTCGGGCGTGCGCGCTGCGCCCAGCCGACTGCAGGCCGTGCGTCGCGCGGCCGTGGGCCGCCGTTCCCTCTCTCGCCCGGCACCCTTTCCACCCACACCCATCACTCCCCTCTCTTTCTCTTGTTTGGCCGTGGGAGCACCTCACCGGAGGAGCCGCGCCGCCGCCGCCGGAGCCGTCGCCGGGAACCACCATCCCACGCCTCACCAGCCTCACCAGTCCGTCCTCTCTCTCTCTCCCGACCGCCGCGACCAGCCACCCCTCCGCCTAGACTCGCACCGTTCGCCGGAACCGCCGCTGCCGTTACTGTTCCAGCGAGGCGTCGCCGCTGTCCAGCCACCATTGCCGCGTGTTCAGCACGGTTTGAAGCTTAGGACACCCGGTGAGTTTGACCCTAAGCCCTAATTAGGACAATTTGCATTTCTAGACGGGTTTTAGGGGTTAATTAGGTTAATTTAGGGGTTAAACGGTGGAAGCTGTTAGGGGCTGTTATCGTGGCTGTTTTGGTGGTGAGTCGTGATGCTTTAATTGAGATTTAGAGTCCCGTATTGTGCTGTGAGTCGGCTGAGCTTGGGTGCTTCGATTCGGATCGAATTTGTGGATTTGGCGGGAGAAACTCGTGATCCAAACGGTGGCTGTTAGGGACTGATTTTGTGGCACATTTGGTGACCGAGAGTGATGATTTAATCGAGGTTTAGTGGT